ATGGACTTCCTTTTCCTTCCAGTGAGACATAGCCTACTCATATTAGATTTAAAAATATATATATTAATCATATCATTTTGGGACTGACCAAGCTACCAAATAACTATAATCTATATTCTTTGCCTCCATAGACATTCTTCCAGAAGTAGTAGATAACATAACCAAAGCCAATTATGGATCATCAAGCTAAGATCAATTAATTACAAATTTTAGGCATGAAAATAAAAATTTAGAAAAAAAAGAAAAAAAAAAATTGAGCCAGGAACTGGATGTTTTCCCTCTAGATGCCTATCCGCAAGAATACTCACCCAAAAATCTCTAGAAGCAGAGCTATTTCTTCATCCTTTGGTGCTTCAATAATCTGAGTCATAGAAATGAGTTAACTTCCGGCTAACCTCCATGATCAGAAATCTTAAAAATTTAAATTCTCCAAGCTATTAAACAAAAGACACGACATATGCTACTGAGTAAGGCTTCCAAATTATGAACTGAATTATCAAAAGTCTTAAATGTAAAATAAGGTCCCAGAAAACAAATATTCGTTGTAGCCATCACAAAAGTTGCTTATTACATATAAGTCTCTAGGATACTGACCAAAAATCTGGGCACCTTTCCTTGGAGCTAGGCCTGTTTCTACTTTTTACTCTTTCATTTGCTTCTCTATAAACAAATATCACCATAATCAATCTCTTAAAAAAATTATCAGTACCACCAAGAAAAATCAGTTGCATAGTGGTTAGTTCCTTTTCCTTAACATCTTTTTCAGATTCTCTGGTAAAAAAGTTAAATCCGTGGAATTTACACCTAAAGCTTCAGTTGTTATAAGCATTTTCCTCAGCACAATACCATCAAGAGAAGTCACTTAGCTGGTGGTTATTTTCTATTCTTTTGTTATTTTTATGATTCAATTTTACGCGCACAATCAAGATTCTGAAGCTGTAAACTGAATAATCAGAATTACCTCGCATAATGTGCAAACAAGTCTGTGAAATGAGTGCACACACTTAACCATACCATAGATAGTATTATGCCCTCCAGAGCCTGGCTTTGCAGAAAAACATCACGAAAATTACGTGGCTCCCCCCCAACATCATACTCATAATACAAGACCTGGAGATCATCATACCATATCAGAGACAAGCAAATTAAATATAAGAATGCACACAAATTTAGTAGCCCAGTTTCTCTATTTTAAGTTTTCAAATAAGTAGTTACTTATCTAACCAAAGTTTGCATTAAGCCTTCAAGATATTAATACAACTAAACAAATGATAGTGAAAAGCACATAAACCAACATTATCAGGGCACTACCGAATGCCACACATGCAAAATGGAGTTTTGAAGTAGCAAAAAAGAAAAATGCAATAGGGGCCCCTATATCCTTGCCATCAAGAAGAGTCTAACGTTCCAGGTTTGAAACTAATGATCTCTAGTTCTAGTAAGGAGTCTTGAACATAAATAATTCTGTAAGAACTCCATTTCTGTTGATATTGCAGTATCTGGAGAAAAATGAGCGGCATGGGGCTTGAACTAATTCAACTACCACATAATTTAGTTTTATATTTAATCATTGTCACTGATAAGACTTATTTCTCTATCTACTTCTAATAAATTTCTCTTTCGTCAAAGAGAATTGCCAATAACTATTAATGATCATAATTGTAGAACCTATAAGCCAGTTTCTCAAATGATCACCCCATTCAAGAATGTTGGAAAACCTATAAGGTAATTTCTCAGGCATGTCTGGCATGGATCCAACAGATGAACAGAAAGATCAGTTATTCACAGAAAAGTAAAAGAAGAATAATAATAATAAATGAAACGATGACATGTACTTCTTTGGTAGAAAACTTGCATAACATGTTCTAAAAGAGTTTTAATATTTCCCTACAATGCAAACCGCCCATTTATGGCCTGACCTAAAGATTTCATTCAATCATTAAAACAGGCAGGAAAAAACTTTTCCTATTTGCATGTTCAGTATAAATTAACAGAATAAACCAAGAAAAAAATGAAAAAGTAACTGCTTTTATTTTTGGAAATATGAGAACTCGTAGTATAAGCCAATAGCCAAATCAACGAGAGTTTTTAAGGCTTGCCATTGAATAAACAAAGAAACAAATAAAAGGGTAACTGCTTTTGTTATTGGAAACATAATAACTCTTAGTATAAGCCAATAGCCAAATCAATGAGAGTTTTTAACGCTTCCCATTGAATAAACAAAGAAATAAATAAAAAGGTAACTGATTTTGTTATTGGAAACATAATAACTCTTAGTA